AGAGTGTGAGAGAGGTAGAGGGAGACAGGAGGAAGCAAAGGTGTGAGGAATAGGATAACCATTCCGCAAGTTTCTTGCGGGTCTCCACTTGTCCAGATCTAAGTTTGCGTGTTTGATTATCGATCATTACTGGATGTGGCAGAGGCAAGAGGTGTAAAATGGGATTGCTTTTCATGTCAATATTTTGGAGCAAAGTCACAGTCTCTGCTGAAGAACGACAGCTATAAATCCATCACAGATTGCTTTGAAAACTCAGGGCGAACAGTTGTGTTATAGGACTGCCTCGGGAGTGTTTCTTTTATTTGTTTGTTATTTGTTTGGGAGGACAGTGGGGATACAGACAAGAAAAGGGGGAAAGGGGGTTATACAGCATAGTTGCGTTTGTCGAGGACAGTCATGTAATACAAAATGTATAAGACAGAAAGAGGGGTCCTTCGCAAATGTGTTTTTGAGTCCTTTATTGTTCAATTTATGTATGAGCAGTGTTCCCTCTAAGCTGAGTTAGTGTGAGCTAGCTCACAGTTTTTTAGCCTCTGACTCACACATTTTTATCTCAGCTCAGAAAAGACGGCTCCAGAGCAAACTAATTTATGCAGAAGCCAACTCGCTCGCTCACAGCTTTAATGCCAGCTGCTCACAAAGTAGAATTTTTGCTCACAAGACTCCACAGCTCAGAGGGAACATTGTGTATGAGTGACCTGTTTGTAGAGACAGACATATGGAGCAGAGGTCCATCAGTAGCTATTAGCCGCAAGGTATAGATGGAACACTCTGTCTGGGGCAGTGATGCTCTGTATTCTTGGTGCTTGGGGGTCAACAGTGGGTGGGCTTTTGGTGTCCTGGCCCCACTGCTGGACCTCCTGATGGCACCTAGTATTTGGCCACTGTGTGACACAGAGTATTGGTCTGGATTGGCCCTTTGGCCTGATCCAACGTGGCTTCTCCTATGTTTTTATGCCTTTATTGATCTAGGGGCAGCTTTTAACTCTGTCCCAAGAAAGCTGCTATGGACTAAGGTGAGAACCACTTCCATTGACTGCAGACTGTTGTGGTTAGTTGAAAGACTATGTGAGCCCTCTCATGCATATGTTCATTATAGCCATCTTGGTCATTTGTCTAGATCTTTCCCTCCGCAGAGGGGGGTCCGTCATGGATGTGTTTTGGCTCCTTTATGGTCCAATTTATATATGAGTGACCTGTTTGTGAAGCTGAAATCACTCAATCATCACTCTCCTTCCTTAGCTAATGTTGAAATTCCTGTACTGTTACATGCTGATGATGATCTTCTCCTTTCCCATACTCCTGTTGGCCTCCGGGGTTTGTTGAAATCCTTCTCTCAGTATCGTATCGGGGGGATTGGAAATTAATGACAGTCTAAGGGTATGACTTTTACTAAGCAACCGCAACCTCCAACCTATAACTGGGAAATTAATAGCAGAAGTTAGAACAAGTTAAACAATTTCGGTATCTGGGAATACTCTTTCGATATAACTTTTCATGGAAACAACATATCGAGGAGGCCCAACAGCTAGCTGTTCAAACAATGCAATAATTTGCTATTTTTTTCTAAAGGAGGTCAATATATACCTATGCCACTTTCACTATATAACTCTAAGGCGGAAGCTCAGTTTATATGGCAGTGATGGCGAACCTTTTAGAGACCGAGTGCCCAAACTGCGACCCAAAACCCACTTAATTATTGCAAAATGCCAACACGGCAATTTAACCTGAATACTGAGGTTTTACTTTAGAAAAAACAACTCATACATTAACTTAAGATGATCCAAACAAAGTAAGGAAAGCAATCCCAAATGCTTTCATTTACTTAACATTATTTGGCAGAGAATTCGGCACTTTAATGATGGTTTGGGCCTGTCTGGGGCGATGGCACAGAGAGGGCTCTGAGTGCCACCTCTGGCACCCGTGCCATAGGTTCGCCACCACTGTTATATGGTGTCCCAATCTGGATTTCTGGTCGCCGTGCTCAGCTCAATACCTTTTCTGCTAGATTCTTTTGAAGAATCATGGGAACTCCACGTCGTTTCGGAGGAACCATATTCAGAGCTGAACTGGATGTGCAGTCCCTAGAGGCAAGGGCATCTGCTTTTAGATTTTGGCTCAAGCTAACTTTTGTCTCCTCGGGAATGGGGGGGGGGGCTTTTTCTTTTCTTTTCTTTTTTACTGAGGATGGATGCCTTTAAAACAAACTGGCAGAAATTGGTCATCTCCTGCCTGGATTGGCTGGGGATTTCTCCTAACGATATTGATTTGCCTCAGTCTGACCTCTATTAGAAACTTGAGTTTTGAGATGCCTTTATGCTTTAGATGAGCTCAGTTCCAGAATCCGGGCCTGCGGAGTCTGTTCTCTTCTCTACTTGGGACTGGCATATCCAAAATCTAGGCCAGAGTAGCTTGACTACCTGATGGTTCCTAAATTCCCATGAGCCGCTAAATTTGCTCGTTTTCATTCAATACCAACAGCAGAATTTTTGTTAAATCACTCGATTAACAAAATAGTCGAAGAGTGATTCAGCAAGAACACAACTGTATTTTTCCACTCGAACACAACTCCAACATGGATCAACATCTGATAGCCAGAACAGCCTTTACATTGCAGCTGTCCTGCTTTTAAACATTCCCGGCTAATGTAGCCACACCCACTGTACAAATACCAACCAATGAGGTTGTTCGTATAAGGACCAATCACAGACGTTCCCACTCAGGGAGCTTGCTGTGAAGTGATTGGCTTGTTACTTCCTGGGCTAGCGATACGATTGGATGTATTTGGATCCTAGCCCAGGACGAAGCTTTACATTACACTTCAATTAGATGTTTCACAACATGTCATGCATTCAAGGCAGCTTTGAATACACTACAATTTTCCGGCCATTTTGGAAGGATTCCATTAGCTGATAGATTTTGCAGCTGCAACATAGGGAGTCTTGCATCCTGGCTCCATTGTTTATTGGATTGTATGAAACTCCATAGGGTATAGAACCACGTTTGTTTCTCCCTTTTTAAAGGATCTGGTTTGTCTCCAAGCCCGTTGTAAGTTACAGGTCCTTTTGGCTGGAAGTGACCATAACACTACTTTGGCAGTTTTTATTTATTTATCTATTTATTTATTTTCACATTTGTATCCCGCCCTCCCCAATGGGCTCAGGGTGGCTCACAAGGGCAAGGTAATCAGCCGTGCCATAAATAAACATCTAAAACATAATAAAAACAACTAAAACTTAAAAACAACAACGGTGCTCAGTCACTGATATCGTAATCCAAGATGGAATCAACACAATTCCAGGTGGCACTCCCATGAATGGCGACAGCTTATCAGATCTTCTTTACATATTCCAGGATCTTCATCAGGGCCTCGTCCGTGCATCCTTTAAGATACCATGACGGTGATGGTATAGTGGGGCGGCGGCTCCTACTCAAAGTCCTGGCGGAAGAGCTCCGTCTTGCAGGCCCTGCGGAACTGCATAAGGTCCCGCAGGGCCCGGATCTCCCCCGGGAGCTCGTTCCACCAGGTAGGAGCCACCACCGAAAAAGCCCTGGCCCTGGTCGCAGCTAATTTGATGTCCTTGGGGCCTGGGATGACCAGCAAGTTTTGGGTCCCCGACCGTAGTGCCCTTGGGGGAACATGTGGGGAAAGGCGGTCCCTCAGGTAGGCTGGACCCTGGCCATATAGGGCTTTATAGGTAAGAACCAGCACTTTGAAGAGGATCCGGTACACTATCGGCAGCCAGTGCAGCGCTTTCAGCACAGGCTGAATATGGTCCCTCCTAGTTGCCATTTTTACCCTCTATGTAACCAAATCTAATAGATAGATCTGGACAACCTGGTGCTCTAGTTGTCATAGTTACATTTGCTGTTATCATTATCATTGTTCTTTTGACGTTGCTTTGTTGCTGAACGATTGATGCTCAAGACTGTAGTCATAAGAGCAGAGAATAAAAGGAAACAATCCAATAGTTCTTTCTTTCGTTGGGATTTGATTGTATTCAACATTTTTTAAGTTTAAGTTTCAAATGTCATGATTTAATGCCAGGAGTGTTTCTGAATGCTTTAATTTTACTTTAGAAAATCCTGATACTAGGACAATGGAAAACCCTAACACATTTTGTGAGTACTAGATTTAACAAGATGTTGCAAAGGATATAGATTGCAATGGATGTAAATGGGGGAGGGGAAGAGAGATGGTTCCTTTGCAACATATCGATATTGTCCAGTTCCTCTTCTTTGGGGGAGAGCCTCTTCTTTCATGCCAGCACATCTTAATATTTGCCTGCACATCTGCTATAGGATCATCTTCTTAAATGCATTGGGTTAGATCCAACCAGGAATGGTCCACTGTGATCGCGAAAAAAGGCCATGACACAGAGTACAGGATATTAATGGACAAAGGGCACATGGTGGGGTTGTAGTATGACGAGGAACTGGACAAAATTGAGTGAAAAGACCGGCCATATGTCAGACTAGGATCTGGAAGACTCCAGGTTCAAATCCTCCCTCTGCCGTGGAAGCTTGCGAAGTGACCTTGGGCCAGTCACGCACTCTCGGCCTAGCCTACCCCACAAGGTCGTTGTGAGGATAACACGGAGAAGAGAATCATAGGAGCCCATTGGGTCCCCACTGGGGAGAAAGGTGGGGTATTAAAGAGTTAAATTAGTAAATAAAACCCAATGAAGCTAATCCAGGGCCTGACCCAAACTGGATAGCATGGGGCGGGGGCAGGAGGCCGACATTATATACCTCTTCGATGATGAACGTCGGTGTTGCCACATGGTTTAGAAAATCACTGATTTAACCAGCTGAAAAATTATCGGCAAGTGCATGAGAAGAGAGCATTGTGGTTACTGAACGTGCCCTTCGAAGGATGTCATAGAGGACATTCACTGTCTTTTTTTGTTTGTTTGTTTCTCCTCTCCCCCACCCCTCCCCCCAAAGAGGTTGGCGCATTTTTTGAAGAAGGGATGTGGCTCCGGTATAACTTTTCGTCTGCAGGGAATAACCTGAAGGACTTAGTCAGCAGGACTCTCTTGAGCTCGACGGAACCGGAGAACGCTGCGTCCGACCTGACCCTGGACAGAGAAGAGCTGAGCTTTAGTTTCAGCACCAGCAAACCCCCCAGCGTCCTCCTCTACATCAGTTCTTACACCAAGGACTACATGGCAGTGCTCTTGAACGCCTCTGGTGAGTGCTTTGTTCCTTGTGTCCAAATGTGTCCTAGACGTTGGTCGCCTCCGTGTCCTTTCCAAACCTAAAGCCCCAAGGGAAACGAGAAGGTGTTACTCAGCTGGGTCACATACTGAGGGCTTGGTGACCTCAGGTATTGTGAAAATGAGTTATTATTTTTGAGGAACTTAATTCATGACGTCCATCGGTTGGGTGAGACAGAAGGTTGCAGCCGCTTTGTTGTGGAGACGTGAGGCCTAGTTTACGCATGCAGTAGGATGAGGTCAGAGCCAGCATCAGCATACGGTGAGGCCAGGGCCGGCCCGAGGTTTTTTTGCACCCTAGGCGTGGCTACCTTCTGGCGCCCCCCCGCGTGCCCGATTATGGGGTTGCCAACCTCCAGGCAGAGCCTGGAGAGAAGGAAATCCTACTTCTCTCCCCCTTTAGGCGAGCGAGGAGGAGGCGGCGAGGTTTCTGGGCACCCAAACCAAAACACCCCACATTTGGATTTACAAAAGCTGACCCCGGGCAGAGGGGGAAGGCAAGGCGGCTTTGCGCTCCCCGTTTGCATCCCCCCCCATGCCACATGGCTGGGAGCAGCAATAGCACGCGGGCTTTTGGCGGGGGGAGGCACAGTTCAGCACCCCATCCAGGGCCCGGCGCTCTAGGTGAATGCCTAGTTCGCCTAGTGGGTGAGCCGGCCCTGGGTGAGGCCCAGGGCTTCTTGTGGCGTTCACTGCCACCAACCCCCCCATCCATACACCTCTCCTGCTGCCCACTCTTCCCCCACCTGCTTGTGTTCCAAGACCTGTGGTCCCAGCTGATTGTGTTGCCCAGCTAGGGTTGCCAGACCCCCCCAATGAAGGCGGGGGTCCCCCACACCAGGCCCCACCAGTGATCATTGGAAATACAGCGAATGCAGTTGCACGAGCAAATGAACAGAATAATCTGTAGCGCTGTACAAATTACGCTTGGGACAACTGTCTTCTGATACAGTTCTCCTTACAACCAAAATTAATACACATAACCAGTAGTTCTGCCACCATGCAATTATGAGAACTGCACCAGTCGAATAGTGACCTCATAGTCCTTGAAAGTGCAAGTCTCTCTTCAGATTGATGCGGTCACCAGCTCATGGTGCCGAGAAGAGTTTCCAGAAGAAAGCACGCAATAGACGGCATAAGCTCAAGACTAGCTGCAGTACGAACCAAAGGAGCGGCGATGGCACGCCTAGGTTGCTTTGCCGTTTCTTAGGGCTTCATCGGGCCGCTTTTCTTTAGTGATGGAGCCCAACCCAGCTCTGGCAAGATTCAAAATGGCACGAAGTCTGCAAGTATGTTCCAGATAGCTAGAAATCAGCCTGATTCTAGCTGGAGTTCTCTCAGCATTACAACTGATCTCCGGGCTAAAGAGACCAGCTCCCAACCCTGCCCAAACGGCCTTCCACAGGGAGCCATGGCTGGTTGTAGTTTTGCGTCAAGCGTACTCTCAGTGGCAAACCTAGATTTGTCCATGCATAATTTGTGAAATGGTCCCCCGTGGAGCTCAATTCATGACAGCATAATACCAGTGCCAAAAGAGTAGGAGACTTAAAAGGGTGGAAGGGGGTTAGAACCAGTACTGAGAAAAAGAGACAGGCATAACTAAATGGAGCTCTTTTTCCCTGCAGGAAATTTACAGATTCGATACAATCTGGGAGGCGCCAAAGAACCATATAACATCAACGTCGATCCAAGGAATGTAGCAAATGGGCAACCGCACAGCATTAACATCACACGGAAAGGGAAGGAGATCATTGTTCAGGTAAAGGCATTGTGATTATTGTTACAGGGCAATTATAGTGATAAAATTAATACTAGAAAAGGGGCTCAGTAATACTGGGCTGCGGTGGCTCAGTGATTAAGATGCTGAACTGCAGACCGGAAGGTCGGTGGTTCAGTAGTTCGAGACCCGAGTGTGCCGCATGACGGAGTGAGCTCCCGTCTCTGACCCCAGCTCCTGCCAACCTAGCAAGTTCGAAAGCAAGAAATTGCAAGTAGATAAATAGGTACTGCTTCGGTGGGAAGGTAACGGCGTTCCGTGTGCCTCGGCGTCGAGTCATGCTGGCCACATGACCACGGAAGTGTCTTCGGACAGCGCTGGCTCTTCGGCTTGGAAACGGGGATGAGCACTGCCCCCTAGAGTCGGATTCGCCTGGCTTTTGAGCAAGGGAAACCTTTACCTTAATACTGGAGCAACTAGATTTGAGTCCAGTTGCACTCTTGGAGACCAACAAGATTGTTTGGGTATAAGCATTAAATAGTTCAGGCTCCTTTTTTAGGTCAGGGAGCTTTGACAAAGGGGATTTGACTCTCGAAAGCTTATACACTGGAAAACTTGTTAGTCTTTAAGGTTTTACTAGACCCAGATCTAGCTGTTCTACTGCAGACCAACACAACTACCCACTAATACTGGAGAACTGGAAATTCACAAACAGAACACAGGCAAGGGTGGAGAAATCTAAGCCATATATCCATCAAGAAAAGAACTTCAAAGAGGGACCCCAATGTGAAATTGTTGAACTGGGATTCATTAAAGAGTTTTCACATTGTCTCGCCCACGATGCTTGAACCAACGAGATTTTTATCTCCTTGTGAGTGTTAACAACCTTAGCAAAACCATGGCACTCCCCCGCTCATTAAAGGTCTTGGCTAGTTTAGCATAACTGATGAATGGCCCTTGTGTTTTTCTTCATCAGATTTGAATGTGACATAATATTTCACCCTTACTTCCTGCCTTTCCGTGACACCTGGATCTGTTAAAATGACAATACAGTGATAATCCACCCATTGCATCTGAAAAAGTGGGAGCTGGTTACAAAAGCTTCTGCTGGAATAAAGATCTGGTAGATTTTAGGATGGCTCCTTTAAATCTTTGGAAATCTGCCTTTATATAAAGGAACTGGGATATATATTAACCTTTTCTACATCGTTATTAGAATTGTTGTTGTTAACAGCATTTTTACCCCAAATTTCTGCCCCCATAGGACCACTAAGGCAGTTAACAAACTAAAGCAAACAAATTAAAATCTCATCTTAAAAGCTATTAAAACCAACACACAAATATATTATTAGAACAAGTTAAAACCACAGCTTAAAATAAATGTAAAAGTTAACAGCAGTTAAAATTCTGGTGGCATCATTTTGGTTTTTTTCCCCTTATTATTAGTTTTGGTTCTATTAAGATGCAATATCCTTTGCAAACAACACATCCCCATGGTACATTTTTGTTGTTATGAATGCCGTTATAGTTATTAGCATGAGCAGTGCCAAGAGGACTACAAAACGTCCTCTTCTTGTGGTTTACACCTCAGTAGCCACTAGATGGCAGTGCAACATAACTTTTAGGAAGAATACCATCTAGTTTCACTCTCTAGGAACCTAAATATCTCCTACATTAGATTTTTACAAGCTTTGTCTTTTCAGTGAACGAAATAAACTCTGAAAGTAGTTAACCACCTGTAGATTAGGAATAGGAACCCATCCCCTCTGCCAAATGAATTATTCTGGAATCCCAGGTTTCCAAATGCGGTAGAGTGTGAAGAAAATATTTCTGGTAAGGCCACTGTTGCCTTCTACTGAGGTTTTCAACAAACACATGAGGACACATGATTTATGGCTTGAACATGGATGGTGTGATAACGGGTTAATTATTAGTTCTAGGGTACCTGCAAAATCTCATGTCATAGTTACTTACATACCTCTGGTTGCCAGTTCTTGGAGGTTTGGGGGTAGAACCTTCAGAGGGCAGGATTTGGGGGGGGGGGGTTATACTGTCATACAGTCCACCTTCCAGAGCAGCCATTTTTCTGCAGGGGAACTGATATCTGCAGTCTGGAGATCAGTTGTAATTCCAGAAGATCCCCAGGCCCCACCTGGCGATTGGCAACCGCACATATATCACGAGTGGAATGAAATAGCAATATGTAGCCAGCCGACTGATGGAGCCTGCTTCAATTTGCTGCTATAAAATCCACGTAGCCTCTTAGGGCGCACCATGCGGTACTCTAATGAGTTTGGAGTTACAGCTTTCCTGATTTTTGTTGTTGTTCAGTCGCACAGTCGAGTCCGACTCTTCGCGACCCCATGGACCAGATCACGCCAGGCCCTCCTGTCTTCCGCCGTCCTCTGAAGTTTGTTCAATTTCATGTTCGTTGCATCGATGACACTGTCTAACCATCTCATCCTTTGCCCTCCCCGTCTTCTTTGACCTTCAGTCTTTCCCAGCATCAGGGTCTTCTCCAGGGAGTGCTCCCTTCTCATTGGGTGGCCAAAGTATTTGAGCTTCAGTTTCATTATCTGGCCTTCCAGGGAACAGTCAGGGTTGATTTCTTTTGACTGATTGATCTTCTTGCAGTCCAAGGGACTCTCAAGAGTCTTCTCCAGCACCATAGTTCAAAAGAATCTATTCTTCGGCGCTCGGCCTTCCTTATAGTCCAACTCTCGCAGCCATACATGACTACTGGGAATACCATTGCTTTGACCATGCGGACTTTTATTGGCAGGGTGATATCTCTGCTTTTTATCATGCTGTTTAGGTTCGCCATCGCTTTCCTCCCAAGGAGCAGGCGTCTTTTAATTTCATGGCTGCTGTCACAGTCTGCCGTGATCTGGGATCCCAGGAACGTGAAGTCTGTCACTACTTCCACGACTTCCCCTTCTATTTGCCAAGGAGTGATGAGGCCGGATGCCATGATCTTAGTTTTTTTGATGTTGAGCTTCAAGCCCACTTTTGCGCTCTCCTCTTTTATCCTAAGCAAGAGGCTCTTTAGGTCCTCTTCACTTTCTGCCATTAGAGTGGTATCGTCTGCATATCTGAGGTTGTTGATCTGTTCCCCAGCAATCTTAATTCCAGCTGAAACAATCCCCTCAAGGTATTGCTTGCCTATAGGAGTTCAGAACAGGATGAAACGCCATTAAATGTCAATCCGTTTCCCTCTTTTGGTTCTCAAACTGATGTTCTCAGGTTAGGCGTGGTACTAATAAGCTTGCTTGACTAGGAGTCATTCTATCACCATAGTGTTCATGTGAGACTGCATTTTGCCCATAATTCTCACAGTCCTGTTCCACCATAACCCAGAATAGCTCTTAAGCAGTCCAGTCCTTTGAAGATCTACGTTGGCCTTCTAAGGCCATTGACTTCCATGAATGTGAAAGGGCATAAACTAGGTTCTGGATGATGTCATTGCAGCGTGCGCATGTAGCACGCGTGCCAGGATATCCCGGATGGGAAGCCTTCCCCCCCCCCCCGGTCAACAAAAGTTAGGGACCTGGCAACCCTAGACATAACACTGCATAGGAGTACATTGCAAATCACAAGGCCTTTATTTCCTTAAGGACGCAAGAACAGCCGTGCTGGATTAGACCCATGGTTCCTCTTGTCCAGCATCCAACAAAGCGGGCCCAGAGGCCAAGGCCTTCCCCTGATGCTGCCTCCTAGCCTCGGGTCTCAGAGAGTGTTCTGCCTAAAGAAACAAAAAGGAAACAATCCAGCCCTTCTTTGTGTGAACTTGAGAGGCTGGCAACTCTAAGCCCCCTTGGGCAGGAGTTTATAGAGAACTTTGCAGGGAATCCGGGTTACAGCTCTTAGCTATCGTACAAGTCTCTCTCTCTCTCTGGATAAGTCATAATGTACTTTGTCTTATGGTTTCCTAGTAGATAAATAGGCAGCGCTTCAGTGGGAAAGTAACAGTGTTCCATGCGCCTCAGCGTTCAGTCATACCAGCCACACGACCACGGAAACGTCTTCAGACTTCAGACAGCGCTGACTCTTTGGCTTGGGAACGGAGATGAGCACCGCCCCCTAGAGTCGGATTCGACTGGCTTTCGAGCAAGGGGAACATTCACCTTTACCTTTTTATCAGGAGATATAGAGAGAAAATTCCTCTGTGCACCTGCTTGAATTGCCTGTTTGGGCTGGGTTAGCGATCATGCCTGGATTATAAAGTTCTAGTTTATGTAGCGGTACCATAATTTTCAGGACATAACAGGAAAGGGTAATACGGTTTCCTGAACGGACTCCTAGTCTGCCTCCATGAGGATGTTTGCCTTCACTTTTGCATCTAAACTGGAGCGCTGTAAAATCTTTTTTCCCCACCGGCATAAGGCTGCCGTCCACCAGGTGGGGCTGGAGGCCTCCCAGGATTCCAGCTGACCTCCAGACTACATCGATTGCTTATTTACTATTTGGCTGATTTCCCACAAGCGCTGCTCCGCGCTCACGCCTCCCTTTTGCCCAGATGGCACGTGTCAATTTCACACACGCTGCTGCGTAGCTGCATTTTGTAATTTCCCCCGCGTCTACTCAATCCTCAAAAAACAGGACTGAGTAACTCCTGATAAAAACTTGCAGGGCTCTTTTTGTAGCAGGAACTCCTTTGCATATTCGGCAACACACCCCTAATGTAGCCAATCCTCCAAGAGCTTACAGTAGCCTCTGTAAGGAGAGTTCTGTAAGCTCTTGGAGGATTGGGCTACATTAGGGGTATGTCGCCTAAGATCAGGGGTCATTTCGTAGAAAAAGAGATGCAGGAGCTCATTAGCATAACTCATTAGCATAACCTATTTGCATATGCCACACCCCCTGACATCACCGGAAGTGTGTCAGAAGGCAACACCCACCGCTCAGGCTCCACTGGACTGTTTTGGATTGCTAGCTATTGGGGGGGGGGGACATGCAGATGTGTCCTCGCAGAGGAGGGAGAGCTTGTGCCTGAATAAAACTTGGTCTTAAAGGTGCCACTGGACTGTTTTGGGCCGGGGGGAGCTCTGCAACTTACCTGGCTGCTTCTTGCTCCTCGTGGCCCAGGGCTGCTGGGAGCAGGGGGTGGGGCTTGTTGCATGTGCCCGCCCCCTGGGCTCTTTACTGCTGGAGCCCTGTTCCTGTGCTCTCCTGCAGGAAATGACCCCTGCCTAAGATGCAAAGGAGTTCCCACTACAAAAAGAGCCCTGAAGCATTCGTCCCACATCTCCTAGAGAAAATGGCTGCTTTGGGAAGAGAGCTGTGTGGCCTCGTGCTCTATCGAGGGCCCTCCCCTCTCTAAACCCCACCCTCCCAGGCTCCACCCTCAAAACCCCAGTTATTTCCAAACCTAGAGTTGGACACCCTACATCCGCATGACATAACCCTTTTAATCACTGTCCAGGTTTCCCCCGGCTTTCCTCTGATCTCTACCAAGCCTGCTTCGCAATGGTGTTTTTTGAAGGAACACAGTGCAAGCGTGCTTGCATGCCATCTGAATGGAAGGTGGCATTTTCAAAGGTCCCTCCGCCACCCCCACAGCATCGGAGGGCTTTCCAGGCTATCTGGACAAGAGCTGCCTGCTTCCCCCCCCCCCTTTTTAAGCACTCAAAGGGTGATTCTGCACTGGCTTTTCCCTGGTTGTTTTAGAAGAAGAGAAGAGATTGGATTTATACTCCGCCCTTCACTACCCGAAGGTGTCTCAGAGCAGCTTACAAACTCCTTTCCCCTCCCCTCCCCACAACAGACACCCTGTGAGGTAGGTGGGGCTGAGAGAGCTCTGACAGAAAGTGCTCTGTTTCCAAGAACAGCTCTTATCAGAACTACGGCTTCCCCAAGGTCATCCAGCAGGTGCGAGTGGCGGAGTGGGGAATCAAACACGGCTCTCCGAGATTAGAGTCCACACACTTAACCACTACACCAAACTGCCAAACCCACGTTGGAACAGAAATTCCCCTCTGCATTGCATGCCGCTCTCACTTTCTTTGAGCATCGGATTTTATGGTACCCTCCACACTGCATGCCACTTTCTTTTCTTCTTTTTTTAAATAGCATTTTTATTGAGTTTTATATATTTTTACATCCTGTATTACTTGTTAGTTGTATACAGTATCTTTCAACAACATCTAATAAACAAGAGAAATGTTATCCATACGCACAGTACTTGTTAATAAAACATAAAGTCTCTATATTTCTGAGGTAGTGCATATAATTGGAGTTGACAAGCAGTAAGATATTCAAAAAACCCAACCCGTTTTTCCAAAAAATTATTAACACCTTTCGGATTGTCAAAAGCTATTAATTTCATAGCGATTTTATCTGAAACGATCATTGTGACAGATTTGGTACCTTAAACAATTTCCAATTTAAAGCAATTAAGTTTTTTGCAGCCATTAGCATAGTAGAAATTAACGCTTCGTTCAGTTTAGACAGCTTCAGACCTGGCCAAAAATGTAACAAAAGAGATGCAGGTGTATTTGGAATCTCATAATTAGTTATTTTCTTTATTTCAGCAATGACCGTAGTCTATCCTCTGTATAGATTGACGGCTGCTCAGGAGTGATTTTGCAGTCAGTATGGCGTTGCCCCCAGGAGAATTTGAATGTGGTTTTGAGCTGCACCTTTGGTGAAACAACGGAGGGAAAAGCCAATGCAGAATCGCCCAAAGAGTCCTTTGGTGGAGTATTGAGGGAAATGACGGCTGTAACAGGCCAATGCGGAGATATAAGGGGAAAGGTGCAGGCAGGTTTGGTTCCGGTTACCTGGAAAGGAATGGGGATGGGCAGCCGCTAGGAAATGTGTGCAGGGCAGGAGTTTATCCACTCGTGTGGATGCTCTGTCACCTTTCTGAATGCCTCTGCCTTTGGTTTCCTTCAGTGTCAGGTGCAGCAAGCGATGCCGAGAATCCTAGTGGTGTGGGTGTAGCCTCAGAGGTGGCACTTTAAGCTTCCAGAGCTAGCATGGACCTCCGCCTTCTTTGTTCGTTCCATAGAGTTCAGTCCGAGCAGGGCTCTATTGGTAGCAGGAGTTCCTTTGCACATTAGGCCACACACCCCTAGTGTAGCCAATCCTCCAAGAGCTTACAGAGCTCTTCTTACTGGGGCTACTGTAAGCTCTTGGAGGATTGGCTACACTAGGGGGTGTGGCCTAATATGCAAAGGAGCTCCTGCTACCAGTAGAGCCCTAGTGCTACATATTCAGGGAAAGGGAGAAGGAACTGTGGGAGTCTTTCCACTTGGTCAGGACCGAAGTGTTCCAAAAGGCATGTCTGTGATGTCTGTTCCCTTTTCTCTAGATCTCCATTCTCCACATCTGCTCCCCTAAAGACTAGACTTCAGAGTGGCGCCGCTGTATCCTGCTCTCAAACTGAGGCTGTTTAGTTCTTCCTTGATTACCGTGTTCAAGTGTCACACTCAAGGAACACCTTGAAAAAACTGACACTTGCGGGGGAAATCATAACGCAACGGATTCCATGCACTCTGAAACCTGGGCGCAATCAAAGCAAATTTTGAATCTTTCTGTTTTTGAAGGTCAAAAGCTCAAGCTGGGAGACCGCAATACAAACCTTTCTTTCCCCCCTTTGCTCAAACTCTAAATCCAAAGGATGGACCGCGAAATAAGGCCTTTTTAATCGATAACAAAATTTGGCCATTCACCATTTAAGCTTCTGCACATGCCAACCTAGCAGTTTGAAAGCAAGAAATTGCAAGTAGATAAATAGGTACCACTTCGGTGGGAAGGTAACAGCGTTCCGTATGCCTTGGTGATTAGTCATGCCGGCCACATGACCACGGAAATGTCTTCGGACAGCGCTGGCTCTTCGGCTTTGAAACGGAGATGAGCACCGCAACCCTAGAGTTGGATTCGACTGGCTTTCGAGCAAGGGAACCTTTACCTTTTTATATGCTTCATTCACACTCAGTTCCACTGGAGTAGGATGGTGGAGGGGAGTTGAAACTGAAATGGCCTTGGTTTACGGATTCATTGTTTCAGGATGCTTGAGCCTAGTGATAGACTACAGCTTTCCAGAAGTGATAGGAACGGATGTGAACTGGGGGGGGGGTTTGAGGCTGATAATGTCCGCTTGTTTCGAAGCAGGCCCGTAGCTAGGATTTTGTGGTTTGGGGGGCAAAAATTTTTCTGGTGCGGCTGAAGTTCTCAGCGCAGAAAGAAAAGCAATTTAGCCAATAGAAAGCTGTTACCGGGATAAGTCTCTAAACTGCAAGCTGTCAACGACTTGAGATGAGAGTTTTCAGCTGTTGCAAGTTAATCACTTCTGCCAGCCTAAGCAACAATTCCGATAACAAGCTGGCAGGTGGGGGTGATGACTTCTCTAGTCAAGAAAGCTTACACTTAGGCAGAAAAACTCTCTTAAAAGAGACCAGTTTCTTGACACAGAGTTAGCAGGGATCCTAGAGGTCACCTACTCCAACCCCCCTGCTCAGTGCGGGAATTAGTTAACCGTAGCGCGCCACTCTGCTTAAAGGAGCACACACATTAAAACTCTCTTAAAAGAGACCAGTTTCTTGACACAGAGTTAGCAGGGATCCTAGAGGTCACCTACTCCAACCCCCCTGCTCAGTGCGGGAATTAGTCAACTGTAGCGCGCCACTCTGCTTAAAGGAGCACACACATTTAAAAAAATGTTTTGAAATGATTGAAAAAAGCATTTACAGGAGAAATTCTTGTGGGGCTCTGCCTTTTCAAAAGGGGGCCAAGCCCCCCAAAGCCCTCTGTAGCTATGGGCCTCTAAGTCTCTCCTTAAAACCGTCGCTGGACTTGGTTCTCAAGGAAGCTGGCTGGTGGTCATTAACAGTCAAAGATAAAACCAGAGCATCTGGAAGCCGAGAGACCTGGTGGTGGTGTACTGTCCTCCTGGAAGGTCTCGTTGGGTAATATTGTGCGGGCATGCTCGTCTGAAAGCCTGGCTTCTTTGTTTTGTGTCTCCGCAGCTGGACCACTATCCTCCGATGACCCACAGCCTGCCGGGAATGTCAGACCTTCAGTTCAGCTCCTTGAAGTCCCTCTTTCTAGGAAAAGTAATAGGTGAGAGAGAATCCGTTTTAGATAACAGCAAGATTCCGAGTCCAGTTGAGCCGTCAGGACCAAGGAGATTTCCAGGGGTCACAGGGGTCACTTCCTGCAGGAGCGCACAGGAGCGGAGCTCCGGCAGTAAGGAACCCAGGGGGCGGGCACATGCAACAACCCCGCCCCCTGCTCCCAGCAGCCCTCAGTCAGAGCAAGAAGCAGCCCGCCCCCCCGGCCCAAGACAGTCCATTGGCACCTTTAAGACCAAGTTTTATTCAGGTACAAGCTCTCCCTCCTCTGCGAGGGACAGATCTGCATGTTCCCCCCCTCCCAATAGCTAGCAATCTAAAACAGTCCAGTGGAGCCTGAGCGGTGGGTGTTGCCTTCTGACACACTTCCGGTGATGTCAGGGGGTGTGGCATATGCAAATAAGTTATGCTAATGAGCTCCTGCACCTCTTTTTCTACTAATTGACCCCTGCCAGGGGATAAGCTTTGACTCTCAGAAATAGTTTGGAAATCTTGTTGGACTTTTAAGGTGCTGCTGAACTTGAATCTTGCTCTTCTTCTGCAGATTAACACAGCTACCCACCTGGAATATTTTAGATAATACTTCCTTTGTTTAGGGCTTTGAGCTTTAATAAGCAGATTACCGACGAACACTCTTTTGTAAACTAGGTGGAGGGTGATTGTTTAATTGGTGGTAGAATTAAGGACGTTGTGTGTTTGTTTTTCAGCCTCTTTCGGTTCTGCAGTGGGGGATTTTAAAAGAAAATATGAATAATCCTGAAGAAATGTGTGACTGTTAAATGCAATTGGTTAGTTGGGGGGAAAGGAAAGTGGTCAATCCACTGGGAACCTTCTGAGTGCTGGACTGCCCTAAATAGTTTAAATGAGTTCCGCAGTGGGATTAATTCAATTAAATGTTGGATTCTACTATTAGGGCTGTTTGTAGGCTTCAGGACGGGGACTATTATGCAAAAGCAGGGCCATTTCCCAAGTCTGAAATAACAGAGTTTGGACCTTTGAGGAGTCCAGTCACTTCCAGCAGGACCCTGGACCACCCAGGCTCTGGGGCCAACGCAAAATGGATCCTTCTTGGAAGCTTCTAAATGACATAAGAACATAAGAGATGTCAATGTTGGATCAGGCCAATGGCCCATCCAGTCCAACACTCTGTGTCACACAGTGGCCAAAACCCGGGTGCCATCAGGAGATCCACCTGTAGGGGCAGAACTCCAGAAGCCCTCCCGCTGTTGCCCCCCAAGCCCCAAGAAGACAGAGCATCACTGCCTCAGACATAAGAACACAAGAGAAACCATTTTGGATCGGGCCAATGGCCCATCCAGTCCAACACTCTGTGTCACACAGTGGCCAAAACCCGGGTGCCATCAGGAGATCCACCTGTAGGGGCAGAACTCCAGAAGCCCTCCCGCTGTTGCCCCCCAAGCCCCAAGAAGACAGAGCATCACTGCCTCAGACATAAGAGCACAAGAGAAACCATTTTGGATCAGGCCAATGGCCCATCCAGTCCAACACTCTGTGTCACACAGTGACCGAAACCCGGGTGCCATCAGGAGGTCCATCAGCAAGGCCAGAACTCCAGAAGCCCCCCCACTGTTGCCCCCCAAAGAATGCATATGTTTATTCAGTCCCCTCTTGAAGTTGTCTATGCTTGTAGCCGCCACCACTTCCTGCAGTAGTGAATTCCGCATGCAAAATCCTAGTGCAAAACGATTACGTCATTACTGCATGCCAGGGATGGGAGTTGGCTGTGGCTCTCCTGTTACAGTATGTGGTCAGCGAGACACACGTACCCTATACACATCGTTTCAATAGTTCTCATTTTCCAGTTCAGCACAAACTGACAGAAAGATGTATAGCCCAAGTGTAAGGAAGAAAGCCATCCTTTCATTCCTCTGCTAAAAGAGCTGCTGTCCCAGATTTTGCACCGGGCTAGAGAAGCATCCCCAAACTGGGTAGTGACCCAAACAAATGGTTGTAACGGGATCTGCTGATGATGTGACAAAGCTTCCCCCTCAAGCCTGAAAAGTGTACTGAGAATCCAGACAGAACATGGTTTATTAAGGGAAATCATGCTAAAGGTTGGCCAGAAGAAGAAGAAGCAGATTCAGTCACAGGTCATCAAGCAATACAGTACAGCAGTACTCAGCACTAGAATGCCCGTGTTGAGTATGAAATATTCCAACCACCCAGATACCGCCGTTCAAGAAGGGGGTGGCACCAGTGTTCCCTCTAAGCTGAGTCAGTGTGAGCCAGCTCACAGATTTTTAGCCTCCAGCTCACACATTTTTGTCTTGGCTCAGGAAGGGATGGCTCCAGAGCAAGCTAATTATGCAGTGCCAGTAGCTCACAAAGTTAGAATTTTTGCTCACAAGACTCCACAGCTTAGAGGAAGCATTGGGTGGCACAGGATGAAAGAGGTAGCATGAGACAGTAACGTAGGAGCCTACCGCTCCTTAATTCATGCAGGTTCCAGACGGAGCTGCAATTCACAAAGCTGGGGTCCAAACATCCAGGAAGCAAAATATAACCTGGGAAGTAGTTTAGGATAAAAGAGAATCCAGAATTGGGTGCCTCCGTAGAAGAGAAGAAGAAGAAAAGATTGGATTTATACCCCGCCCTTCACTTGGAGTCTCAGAGCGGCTTACAAACTCCTTTCTCTTCCCCTACCCACAACAGACACCCTGTGAGGTGGTTGGGGCTGAGAGAACTCTGACACAAACTGCTCTTTCAGGAACAGCTGTGCCAGAGCTTGTGACTAACCCAAGGTCACATCAGCAGGTGCAAGGGGAGAAGTGGGGAATCAAACCCAGTTCTCCCAGATTAGAGTCCGCACACTTAACCACTACACCAAACTGGCTCTAAATGCACTTCAGAGAATCCCCAGCTAGCACACCCACGCTAAGCACCAGGAGGTATGCAGCGTGCCAGCAAAAAAGCTTCTGTAACAAAGCTGGCCCACGGCTTTTTCCAAGGGGAAAAAAACCTTATTTTCTGTCTGATAATTGCGGGAGCACTCAAGAACTTTACGTTTAGGGGTAGATTCTGGCTCTAGTTAGAGGGCAAACGAGCATGAGTTAAAACACACCCCAAAAAAAATCATTACAGACTTGGAAGAGAAGAGAGGGCCAAGAGAGCTAGTAGAGAGCCAGTTTGGTGTCGTGGTTAAGTGTGCGGACTCTAATCTGGGAGGACCGGGTTTGATTCCCCACTCCTCCACTTGCACCTGGCTGGATGACCTTGGGCAAGCCGTAGTGCTGATAAGAGCTGTTCCTGGAAAAGAGCAGTTTCTGTCAAGAGTTCTCTCAGCCCCACCTACCTCACAGGGTGTCTGTTGTGGGGAGGGGAAGGGAAAGGAGTTTGGAAGCCACTCTGGGACTCCCTTGGGTAGTGAAAGGCAGGGTATAAATCCAATCTCCTCCTCCTCCTCCTCCTCCTCCTCCTCCTCCTCCTCCTTCTTCTTCTTGTCATGGGAGGTGAGGAGGAGGATGGAAGTCCAGGATCCTGGGAATATTTCCAAATAAGGACTGGAGGGGACATATGTGGATGGGAAGGAGGTGGATTTGCGAGCATATTAGTTACCTCCTTGATGGAAGAAAGGGGCCAGTGGAAATGGGCAGGCAACAACCTGGCCATAAATGAGGCCCTCCACACCATACGGCACCTGCGTGTGCTATTGGGAAAGGTTCGATCACAGCGTCAGGACTGCAGAAGCTTCTTTGACATTATAGTCATATTTGCAAAGTGTGCATGATCTATGCAGATAGCTTGTTCGGCTGTGGCACAGATTTCTAATTTTTATTTTTACATTGGAATACATACAGGGTTGTAACCTGTGATGGAACCATTTGCAGTTGCCGTAGATTTTGTCGTGACCGTTGCCTGAGCATTTCTCAGTATCGGGGTCTCGCACCATACAGAGCACTGCTGCTTGCTATGTGGAGGTCTGTTTGGTCTAATGAGAAAGGGGAGGGTCCCCATGACTAGGAAAGTAATTAACTAATTAATTATTGTATGGCATGGTGTGTAGAATAGCCAGGAGATCCTACGATTGTCTGGTAGCCAGACGTTTTACCTCTAGCATTATGCACCACTAGGTGGCAAGCTAGACTTGTTTCATTGCCTGCCTCTGCGTCACAAGCCTGGTATTCCTTGGAGGTCGCGCTTCCAAATATTAGCCAAGGTTGACCCTGCCTAGCTTCTGAATCTGACGGGATTGGGCTATCCTGGGCTTCTAGGAAAATTATTGTCATTCATATAACTGTCAGCCTGAGGAAGACAGGAAGCGGTAGTGAAGAGGCGGTATCTTGTTTCTTTTACCTGTGGATCTTTCGCTGGCATCAGTCGAAGCGTGATGCCTATCCTTGAATCACATAAACCTGAGCAGAGTTTCTGTCCCTTGACTCATACTGAAGTAATGAGAATCACAGAGTTGTTATGGGAAAGGAATGTGGGACCCACTGTGGGGTATGTGCATTTAATTGAGGCTGCTGTAGCCTTGTGCAGTACATCTGGTCCCTTTGGATCCTTTACTCTTGGGTAAAACTGCCACAGCCCAGGTGAGGTTAAGACTTTGTGAACCCGATTGACTGCCCCAAGAATAGCCTTGAGCAGGGCTTTTTTGGTAGAAAAACCCCAGCAGGAACTCATTAGCATAATAGGCCACACCCAACAGCAGAAACTCATTCGTATATTAGGCCACAACCCTGACAGCACAGCTCATTAGCATATTAGGCCACACCCCCACGCCTTCCCTTGGCTTGCCCGGGCAAGCCAGCCCTTGGACAGGCCAGGGAAGGCACGGGGAGGCATTTAAATGCCTCCCCGATCCTTCCAGGGCCCCTCTGGCCCACCTGCCTCAGAGTCGCTGGAGGGGAGGTTTTCTCTCCAGTCCTTCCCTCTGTAGCCACGCACGCAGAGGTTTTGGCTGTAGTGGGCGTGGCTAACTCTGAAGCCAGCCGGAACTCCATTCCTGTGCGTTCCTGCCCAAAAATA